TTGACAAGCTGAGTTCGACACTCAGTGTGCAGAGTGTCAGTTTGTCAAATACCCCAAGTGAGGCACCTGCTGAGCAACGTGACAAGGGCACCTCCTCCTTCCTCCTTCTTGGGCAGAAGCCTTCCTGGTGGGATCCTGCTCCTCTCCAAAAGCCCAGTGAGGTGTTGAGCATCCTGACCATCTCTGAGTGCTGTACTCTTGCCATGTGATGCCAGGTTTCCCTCCCAGCCCAATTTCAGAAGTACCTGCCTGGGTAGTCCTCCGCACAGCAAGCCTGCACAGAAACACTGCTGGTGCAGCTCTTCTGCATTGTGGAAGCAGAGAACTTGGCCCTGGCTCCTTATTCTTGGCAGCTAAAGGCAATACTGTTCTCCTTCACAGCATTAACTAGCCATCTGTTAATTAATTACTTGCTCAGGTAACAAGAATTCTGGCAACTGCAATCACAACACTGTGGGTAAGGTCAGCATTACCATAGAACAGAATATTTTCTTTGGATATGTAGAGATTTTTCTTTTTTTAAATTGGAAATTGGAGTACAAATTAATGAGGCTGCCCTGTATCCCATTAGCCAGTGAAAAATGCATGTTTGCTCAATCTGTTTTAAAATTAGGCCATGGAGTCCTTTGCTTCTTGAAGCCTTGTTTGGAGAAGCCAACTTGTTTTCAGATGGTTGTTCCTAGTCAGCACTTGCAGCGAGGTTGCCTACTGCTTTTCTTGCATTTCTGCTCTTTAGTTCAAGTAATTCCCTCGAAATCATCCCACTTGAAGATCTAATGATTGGTAAGCATTTTTAATAACTTGCTTGTAGCATATCAGATCTGCAGCTTGAGATATCTCTGGGTGGGGGAGTGCCCGGCCCAGCTGGACAAATCAAAGTCTCCGAAAGCATTTAATGTTGAAAACTCAGAAACAAAGAAAAATACCAAGACCCTACTGACTTGGTCTAGGACCATCACCACCAGCAGCAGCAATTTTTTCAATATTTAAGAATATCAATAAACTGTACTACTAAGCTTTTGGAGGTTTTGTTGCAACTATTTCTTGCTAAATATTTTTTGAAGAAGTTGGGGTTTGTACAAAGCTGGGACCAAGGAATGTATCTCCTTGCCTAAGCAGATTGTGTTCTGCTTTTTGAATAGGTCTGATCTGTGGGGCTTATTGTGCCTTTCTGGACAAACATGGTCCTACTCCTTATGACTCACGCTCCCATGGTCTCTCTCAAGAACCTACTCATGACTCACAAACATCACACTGATATTTATCACTGAGGTCAGCTTCAAAAGAGAACAAACTCTATTATTTCAGGGTTTGTTTTGTCCCCTGTGGATCCTTAATGTAGGAGGCAGCTGTGTCAACCCCAACCCTTTCTGCCATCCCAAACCTTAGGGGTTCAACAGACCTAAACTCTTCTGCACCTCAGCTAGACAAGTGTTCTTTTATCCTCTCTATCACTGGTTTCTCATGCATTTCCAGTTTTTACTTTCAGTCGAGATTACCCCTCTGCTTTTTAAAAGACATCCCCTGCCCCCGTTCTTTATAGATGACTGGGGGGAAGGAGAAGAAAGATAACCCCTTCCTCACTTAGAAGAACAATTACCAAATTATGGTGGGACAAATTTCTCTGAGACTTCCTCTCCCTCCCTGTTGGGAATGGCAAGTTCAGAAGGGCTCTGAGGCCATGGCAAACCCGGCAAGTGTAAAATGCAGCAGGGCCCCTCCACTGTATGTGCTTCAGTTGCTCTGAAGCAAGGAGAGCTGCAAGTCTCATGACATTGTGATGGCCACTAGAAATAGCAGGGGTTTGGAGGCTGTGAAGTTTCAGAGCGGAAGCTGAGGTTTCCCTTCGCTGCTGGCACCCAGTGGATGAGTCGTGTCACCCGGTGAGTGACCAGCACAAGGAAAGGAGAAGTTATCTTTTTTGATGGTGATACAACACAGGAAACCTCTCTGTGACTTTCAGAAGAATGTTCTGTTTCCAACAGGTACCAAACATGCAAAAAGTATAAATAAAAAAAATAAAATAATCCCACACTTGCTACACAGGGCGAAACAACAGCATTGGAGAGAGGCTTTTTGTGTTTCTACTGTTCTGCTGCTTATGACCAAAGCCATTTTGCTGCCCAAACTGGAGGCGATGACAACATGAGGTGCATCCTGTCTGCTTCAGCTGGGGCATCTGCTATCCCCATCTTAACTCCTGTTGCCTTCTTCCTCTGCAGCTTTTCCCAGGCTTCAGGTCTTCTGAGGATTTCCTCAGAGCAGGTCAGTGCTTGGAGGAATCAAATGTTCAAGAAGTCATGTCACTGTTATTATAGTCAGTGATAGAACTTGGTGCTGGGAGCTCATCATGGCAGGAAATCTTTCATAAAACACTAGGCTGATTGAAAATGAATGAGGATGGCACTTGTTGGGGGGAGGGGCAGGAGGGAAGAGAATGCCATGTCCTGTGTTTTGGGCCTGGATGTGCTGAGGTGAGGATGGGGAAGCTGAGAAGCTTTCAGTTCCCTTCCCATGCAGCACCAACCTTGCACCACACACTTCTGCCCTCTGGGAGCAGGGCTGCAGCTCTGTTTTCCCTCATTGCTGGGACTGCTGACATGGGCTGCTGCTGCCCTGACCCCTGGGAGTGTCCATGGAATGAATTCCCTCTCCCCGGCTGCAAAGCACCAGAGGCCCTCACATGAATTTCAGATGGTCCCTGTACTGCTCTTCCTCAGCCAGGGTGCAGCTCTGCTCCTCTCCAGTCAGGATGGGGAGCTGCCAGGTCTGAGGGGACATCACCAATGCATGAGTTCAGAGCCCAGTGCTCGGCCTGGGACAGGCAGCACCAGGACAGGCAGCACCAGGACAGGCCTGCCTCTGCCTGCCTCCCCAGGAAGCGCAGCAGCCTGGCACTGCATCCCTGCGTGGCCATTGCTGTTTTTATGAAACCTTCCTAGTGCAGGCAGGAGACTTCTCTCTCTGAACTTGCCTGGTAACCATCACACATCCTGAAAAAAAAAAAAAAGTCATTGAAATTCAGAGCACTAAAGGTAAAGGCGAGGCTCTTCTTCCCAGTGCTAAGCTACATGAACCCGCTATTAGGCTGCTGACCTGGGAAGGGATGAGCCAGGCAGTGGAGACAAAAGCCATGCATGTCTAGGTCAGTGCCAAGAGGGAGAGCTTGCGTGCCCTGAGGCTCATCTGCTTCCCCCTACCCTCCCTGGCTGCACTGACTCTTTTTAATAAAAGCCCATCACTATCCCTACACATTTCCTTTGCTAAAGCCAGGTGACATCCCCACTCCCTGCTAAGCCCTAGGACAGAGAGACACTTCCTGGAAGCGTCAGGAAGCCAGGGCAGAGCCGGGCAGCAGCACCCCATCACCACCAGTACATGTAAGGTGCAAATGATTAACAACGAGGAAGGAAACCAGGCTGTTGAGCAACAGCTCCTACTGCAGGCAACACTCTGCAGCTGAGGGCAGGAGCAGCTGAGCACACAACCCTGCTGCTTTTGAGACATCCTCAGAGTTCTTCCAACCTCTGACAGCAAGTTGGTACCATAACGCATTACAGCCTGCTGTGAGGGATCAGTTCCTAAGTAAACTAGAACTAGTTGAAGCATCTGGAAGAAAGGTGCTAATGGCAAAGCTTCAGCCTTAAATGTGCCCAGCTCAAGCAGTGATGCTTCTAACCAAGACACTTAAATGAGGGTTTTCCAGTGACTCCAGGCCTCAGTCTGATGTTGTCACTGTTTGGTGTCCTGTGTCTTACTGGGCTGTCACTGCAGCAGGAGGTGGCTGCAGGTTTGTGACTTTGCATGTAGAGGCAGCACCAAGACCTTGACAACAAGCTTGGGGGGGCTGTGGTGAGGTGGATTCATGTGAGGAGTCTGATGTGGGATGATTGGATGCCTTTCTCCTGTCCTCTCCTCTTTAAAGGGAAACTCAAGCCAAACTTCCAAGTCAAACCATGGCTACGACTCTACCCCTGCCTGTTCTGCAGAATTAAACCAGAAGGCTGAGAAAAAGAATAAATTTACAAGCAACAGAAAAATGAAAGCACTGATGGTGAAATACCAAGGAAGTCAGAATTCACACACAACAAGATCCTTTGAAGCCTTTTGTATTTGTGCTGGAAAAGTAAATACATTGTACTAATCAAGCACTTTTCAAGACACAGTATACATGAGTGCTCAGAGCATCCCCATAATAACATATGTAAAAAAATTAATATATCTGATGTAACCAGACAGATTGACTCAGTCCCTTGCACAGTCATTACTTCAAATGCCTCAAATTTCCTTCTATTTTATTATGCCTGTGGCCCCCACACTGTAGAAATAAACTACTAACATTTTCTTCAGCACCAGTTCTACTTTTCCAGGAGGAAACTAGAGGGTGGTATTTAGAGGCTCATCACCTACAGGCATATTCCCTCTTCCGCTACCAATGCACTCCAGTCTGGCAGCAAAAAAATCACATTCCCAGGCCACCCCTGCCCCCCTCCCCCCACGGTCCATTTATCTTGCTGAAACAAAAAAGACTCAAGGGCAAGCAGGATGTACCACCAGTATTCACTGAGCTGTAAAGTCCATTTCCAGCACAGCCCCTGGCCCCTCACAGTCTGGGATGTCTCAACAGGGCACCATGCACTTGTAGGTGCATCTTGTTGCTGTCACTGGCCAGAAGCATTGCACCAGCTACACCTTGGTTTGCAGGCTAAAAGCAGAGTGTTTCTGCTCCTTCAGATCCACTTGCCCTAACCTTAGTCCTTCAAGCTGCTCAGGAATGATTTGCTCTGTGAAAGTAGGTAGACAACCACTTGGCTGAGGGGCCTGCACCAGTGGGCAGGGCCTCACTTGCCAAACTGACAAGGAGGTTATGCAGAAAGCAGTGAGGCCACTATATTGATCAGGGCAGAAGGCAGACAGGAAGAAGAGTTTCTTTTAGTAAAGTTCACCACTCAGTATCTGCAGCCCTGCATGGCTGCTCATGTGAAAAATCTGGTACTCTACTACATTGTTTCTATGTCATATTCCAGTTCCATTGCGTTCACAAGGTTCTCATACTCAGGACTTTTCTGGCTGCACACGCTGGAGGGTCTGTCTTTCACAGTGGACGTGTCATTGGGTGTTTCAGGCTTTGTCTCCTGGTGCAGGCTCTTCACAGGGACCTCCACATCACCTTCCAACCTTGTGTCAGTGCTGTGGCTGCAACAACAGAGACGTTGTTGAGAGGGACAACAAAATCAGAATTCAGAAGTAATTAAGATTTACATCTTTGTCAAAGACAAGACAAGCACTAAATATGTGGAACAGCAACATTTACATTTATATAGTGAAGGTCTGGGAAGCTCTGAAAGACACTAGAAAGTAACAAAAAGAAACAAATAACAAGTAACAACACAAATAAAGTAACAACTAAGTACAGACAAGTAACAAAAAGAAACAATAAGCAGTTACACTAAAGTTCATAGTTAACATTGATACCATAAAATCTCATTACATTATCGCATTATACTCAAATGTTACCCGCAGACTGTCTAGCCTTTAGCAAGTAACTACCCGTGGTAATTGGGAAAAATGGCACCGTGTGAGGCTACAGATGGCTCAGGCATGTCCCTGAAGGGGAAAATATTATGAAGTGTTTAAAGGCTGAAATTAGGACAAGGCAGTAGATACATTTGTGTAACGGTAAACAGAGGAATTGCACCCAGTAATCCTTGGATAAGCACTACGATGTGCTCCTTACAGAAAAAGGCATGTATAAAAGGAACTTATGTCAAGGGAAGAGCTGAGAATTCCTGACCTTTGTGATGTGAAATAATGGTGGAATTTACTAAAGACAGCAGTTTACTACAGAGAGCATCTGCAGGGCAGAGGGAAGGATCCAGAATCTCTCTCATTCCAGCCCAGACAGAACAGACCTCCCCTCGGCACCTCCTGCCCTGCGCTGGTAGCATCCTGGTGCTGCAAACTGAATGGACTGTCAGGGTACCCAGGTCCTCCCCCCGCCACTCAAAGGAACCTTTGGCTGAGCAAAGAGGCTTTTTGGAAACAGGCATCACTGCTATGCCTTCAAAGTCTTCTTAACGTCCTGGGTGAAAAATTATACTCACAAAGCAACTTCATAGAGAGGTTCTGGAGAAAAAGCAGAATCAAAGATACACATCAGCATGTTTTATGTGTCACAAGAAAAAAACCACAGCTATTCCCAGACATTCCCACCTTCAGGAATAACTCTCCCCACCCTGGATCTTCCTAGAAGAGACCAGCTGGGGCTGGGATTGGAGCAGGGGAGAGGGAAGACGGAGGAGAAAGAGGTGGGGGAGAAGCGGAAGTGAGGGGTGATGGAGCTTTCCAGTCCGGCCCGTACCCTCGGACCGGGGCTGCCCTCCGCCGTGTCCCCGTCACTCACCGTCCCCGTCTCGTCCCCGTCGCTTTCGCTTCTTCCACCGCCGCAGCAGCAGCGCGACCAGCAGCGCCCCGGCCGCGGCGCCCAGCGCGGCGAGGAGCAGGGACGGGGCTGCCCGGGGGGCACCTGGGGGAGAGCGGGGTGACAGGGG